ACTGGGTATGCAGTTCCATGCCTTTTGGGAGGAGCCCCACCACAGGCTAGTTCAACCACAGCCTGTACCCTGCCCGGGGCCACCTGGCATGAACCACTAAGCAATCCACTGATGGCCGCCACCCACACTGGGCTTGGAAGTGCCTCTAGAGGCCAAGCCGCAAACCGAGGCTGGCTGCCACTAGTGCCGGGCTTGGGGCTGCTCAGCAAGAGGTACTGGGCACGCTGAGGCCAGATGCTGCTTGTTTAGATTTTGTGAACGTTTGGGAGATTTTAGAAAAGTCCGCAGCATGAGCCAAGCCAGGCTGTTTGTATCAAAATATGATTCTTTACCACAATGTTGCTTTGCATCTTTGTTCTTACTGTTTCCATTGCCTAGAATGCCCTTCCTGTCCATCCTCATCTGATGAAATTCTGTCAAAGTCTAGTTCAAAGGTTCCCAATTCCACGATGTCTAGGTTTACTCCATCTTGACTTATCTGTTGCACTGGAAAATACAGCCCACCCAGCTCTCCTCCCTAGAATTCCAGGAGCCATACTTCTCCTTTCATCTTTCGATCACTTCTGTCTTCTTCGGTGTCTCTTCTTGTTTTCCTAACTGTGCCTTGAATATTGAGTGCCAGGGAATTCTGATTCTGTGGTCCTAATTGCTGTATTCATGTGATCTCCCCATGGCTTTATCTCCCAGTAATTACTCCTTACACCCCTTATTCAAACTCCAGCTCAAGTAAGCTCTATTTTTTGAGCTAAGTCCTGGATGTACCCACTTGGAAGTCATTATCATCTCATATTCAATATGTCCAACCTGGACTCATCTTCACTGTTATCTTCTGTGCTTGCTCTATTTTTTTTTTTTTTTTACTTAAATACAGAGTTTACCATGTCTTCTGACTGGTGATGTCTTCTTTGATTTGATCTCTTCATTTTCACATATATCCAGTCAGACAGACCAGGGCTTAGTTCAAGTCTTATGCCCCTCATGAAGCCTGTCCTCTCTGCTCCAGGATCTGTGTTTTCCACACTCCAAATTTGCCTGCAGTACTCAATTTATCTCTTAATCATGAATGAGGCTTAGGTAGATATTTAACTGTTTTGTGGGCTAAAATGAATTTCTGTTTATTCTTTATTTGAAACAATTCTCATTGTCATCTCTTCCTACAATTCAACTCCTTCTCCCATCTGTTCCCCTCATCTCCTCTCACCTAGATTAGAACAATAATTCCCTAAATGTGCACCATCCAACACAGTGCATTTGTCCATCCTGTCCCAGTGTTTATGCTCACAAAGAATGCTTATCTTCCTTTTTTTGCTTAGCTAAATCTTCCCCATCTTTTAAGAGTGGTGTCATTGCCCACCTCTACCTGGAACTCTTCCTGGATCTTCTAACCCAACAGGAGGTTTCTGTATTCTGGGAGGGAGAGTTGAATATAGGAGGGAAAATAGACTTTGGAGCTAGACAAACCTGGGTTTGAATTTCAGTGATGTTACTAACTGTACCGCCACAATTTTTCTGTGCCTCAGTTTCCTCATCTATAAAAACGAGAAGATAATTTTTATCTTGCAAAGTTATTGTGAGGATTAAGTTACATTATGTATATGATGTGTCTAGCATATGGTAATGGCTAATGTTACCATATAGGTTTTGAGTCTCCTCCAAGGCTGATACATTACACAATTATTGCCCCTTGCAGTTGTGAAGTGTACAACTTGCATATGGTCGACCTGGAGGTCTACTGTGTCTAGTATTAATTGTTTGCTAGGTTATTTATATGTGTTTTAGTGTTTAATAGTCTGTATATCTCTGAAGAGAAGATCGAGGAGAGAAGTGCTAGTTTTATATACTGCTACTTCTCTAATCCTGTCTCTCACTACTATCAACTGCCTCCTCTCTGCATTGTATTGGACTAAACTACTTGTGGTTTCTCTGATGGCCTCAGCTCAGATCCTGAGCTGGAATAACGTCTAGTTCTCTAGGCTTCTTTACTTGTCTCCTCCTGATTAGATTGTGTTAGTCTTATTCACCACTGCATGCTCAGCATCTAACATAATGTCTGGTACATAGGACAAACTCAATAAATAAATGTTTGTTGAATTAATATACTGTTTTCAGGGATTATTACTTGGTTTTCCTCAAAAAGGGGCAGGACATTTTTAAACAAACAGTCATGTTTCTTTGACTACCGTGACTGCAATGGACTGAATGTTTGTGCCCCGCCCCCCCCATTCATGTATTGAAATCCTCACCCTCAATGCAATGGTACTAGGAGGTGGGGGTCTTTGGAAGGTCATTAGGTCATGAGGGTGAAGCCCTCATGAATGAGATTAGTGCTCTTATTAAAGGGACCCCAGAGAGCTCCCCAGCCCTCTTTCCACAACCAGAAGATAGCATTCTGTAACCCAGAAGATGACCCTCACCAGAACCCGACCATACTGGCACCCCGATCTATAATTTCCTGACCCCAGAGCCATAGAAATAAATTTCTATTGTTTATAAGCTACCCAGTCTATGGTATTCTGTTGTAGCAGCCAAAATGGACTAAGACAATGACTGAATTTCTAATGTCTACTCATCTACTGAAACACTTTATATGTGTATCATTATATACATCATGTTAACATTGTCTGCTTCTTAATAGAGGTGTGGCCTTGGGAAAGTTTCTTAATCATTTTGTGCCTCAGATTCCTTAATTGTAAAATGGATATAATAAGAGTACTTCTCTTAGGGTTGTGGTGAGGATTAAACGAGATGCTTCTACTATCTGGAATGTTCTCTCTCAGATCATTCAAGGGCTGGCTCCTTCTTCAAATTCAAGACTCAGTTCAAATAACAAGTCCTCAGATGCCTTCCTTGACTGCTCCAAACCCTTCTCCAATTTTTCTCATATCACCTTGTTTTAGTTCCTCATGGCATTTGTAGCTATCTAAATTTCTTTATTTACTTATTTATTTGTTTACTAGCTGTGTGACCTCAATTTCTCTGAGATTTAGTTCCTATACACTGCCATATCTTTAGTGCTTAGAATAATGCCTGAAATGTAGTAGCACTCAATGCAGATTTGTCAAATACATTTATTTGCCTTTAACCATCCAAGTCTTTGAGAAAACTAATAGCCAAACGGGTGAAAATTTTCTGATCACATAAGTTGGAGAACAAAACTCCTTTCAAAGTACTGTCAGTCTGTAACAAAAGTCTTAGAACCATTGGTGGTTTGTAAATCACTAGTGCGACCTATGCCTTCCATGGATGAAAAGTGATATAGCCATAGATCAAACTAAGAAGGTGTGTAGCTACGAACTAATTTTGAATGCCGCAGGGTAAAAGCGAAATGAAGATACAGAAGGAGGGATTCAGTTGGGGGACCTTAAAAAAGAAATGTTATCTTAGAGAAACAAGACAAGGTACTAATGTTTGAAAAGCTCTTAGAACAGTGTCTGGCCCATAGTAAAAGCTATATATGTGTTTATTAAATAAAAATGCCCCCCCCCAAAAAAAAAACAAATTAAAAATGCTCAGATGATATTTCAGGCCATCAGATTTTTATTTTTGCTTTTGAAAAGATATAAAGTTTTCAAAAAATTTTTATTCATGAAGTTACCATGGGCTGCCCTTTCTCAAAAGCACTCATGAGATGGCCACATGAGCACATATTTGCCCGATATTAGTAAACATTATGTACTAATTTTAGAAAGAGTATCTACAGAAGACCCCAAACTGGGAATCACATGGACTCAATCAGATCATCTGAGTGAAGAAACCAATCCCTAGAAATAACCACAAAGAAAGATGACTGTGCAGAATGGCCCTCCTGAGCCTCTGCTTGGCGATGTGGAGCCTGGGTATGCTCTACTTCACTGAAGACTCAAGGTGCACAATCACAGTTGGGCCTTTGGCTAGACTGTGACAAGGTGAACACCTCATTGCATGTCTCACTGTCTTGGGTTGTGGTCACTATCTCACTGGCTCCTTTCATGGAGTAAGGAATAGTGAGCCATGGGGAATTCTGGGGGGCAGTGCATGACACTGGGATCACATACTTAGATGAGGTACCCTTTGAAGTGTAGTATATCTCCGTGCTGTACATAACCATATCCTGAGAGACAGCCTTGGCCCTGATGCCACATTCAGTAACACGGTAGGTGAACTGATACATATGTGGCTTAACATGGTTGACAGGACAACCCAGGCCCAAGTGTAACTCATGAAAGTGTACATATACATCGTTGTTCAACATGAAGGGGTGCACCGTGACCATGAACCAGTCTGTGGAGCATAGCACAGTCATTGGATTTTGTCCAGAAGAGGCTGAGAACACGGAGGTGAGGATGACCATTACTCCTATCAACTCGAAAACTTTCATCTTTGTAGTTGATCACGTGATGACTCTTAAGAAACAGGAAGCTGTCTGGTGAGGGTTTCTAGAATACACAAAAACATAAAAGGCAAATCATCTTATTTCCTATCGAAAGTTCAAACATCATGATTTAAACAAAACAAAACAAAAGGCCATTCTTAAAGCATAAAAAAAGTTTAAGAGAATAGAACTTACATGCTCTCACACACACAAAAAAGGTAAATATGTAATATGTTAATTAACTTGATGGGGAAATCCTTTCACAAGGATTAAATTACAATTTTATTTGTCAATTATACCTCAATCAAACTGAAGCAAGGAAAAAAAGAAAAGGAAAACACTTTCTCTCTTGTGAGAGAGAACTGAATTTTAATTTCATTGTCGGAATTCACATGTTTATGGATGACTATAATGGCTGCTTTAAGTGACTTTAATATGCTGTTTTAGTATAAAACACATATCCCTCAAATGTAGAATGAGAGTCTATACCGATCAGGAGTGGCATCCTTTTGTGTGTAACCCCAACAAAGAAGAAAACAAAAACAGTTTTCATGCCAAACGTTAAGTAAGGAGACAGGAGATAAAGTTTAATTCAAGTTGGCAGAACTTTCTTCCATAATGGCCCCAGTGTCCTCCCATATGCCATACGAACAAACTCTTCCCTATTGCCTTTTTTTGGTTAGCAACAAATTTAATTAAATAAAAACCGAAGAAGAAATTGTGGTTTATTCCTGACAACCAAATATTAAAATTTTGCTGAGTGGCTCCCTTAAAATGATCAAATGAAGGCTTCGAAAACTCTAGCAGTAGCATCATAAGTCATTATGACCAATAGATTCCTTGATATAGCAATTGGGACACCTTGTAAAATAGTGAAATTGCAGGAACAAAAAAACATTTTGGTTTTTAATTTTATATATTTTGATCTATATTATACATGAAACTACTCAGACATCCTATATTAAAGAAAGGGGGTCTTGTGTTTGCATTTTACACATTGATTAACAAGGTATTTTCTAAAATATTCTTTGTGGCCATTGTTGGCACCTCATTGAATCACAGAATTGGCTTTACATTCTTTTATTTTCACTAGCTTTTCATTTCATGTCTTTTCTTTTCCAAAGGGAAGTTCTGTGGCCACCCTGTAGTCCTATTGCCTTTTACTTCCTAAAAACTGACAGGCAGAGCAGTGTGGAGAAAAAAAAAAGTAATGGTAACAAGTTTCTAAAACACATCAGAAGGAGGTGACAAATGAAGAAGGAAGGAAGAGGAACATCATCAAATATTGTCCAACTCAGCTTTAATTTTAAATCATATACTAGAAAAGCACCTTAATTTCAAAGGAATTGAATATATATGTGTAAGGTTTTATTTTTGTTCTCTGCTGATTTAAGTAGCACCTGCATAAATGAATTCATTCTTTGACTAATATTTATTGAGTGCCTACTATGTGCACAGCTCTGTGCTAAAAAGCATCCCAAGACATTTATTTCCTTCCCCTTTCCCCAGGTGCAAAAATACAGCTCTTTCTCGTCCTTTGATATTGATAAATTTGCTCCATTCTTTATTAGAAACTATGGCATGTGAACCCACTAGAAAAGCACACTGACCTGGATGAAATGATTTATTTCTAAGTCAGGCACTTGATCTGATTGGTACAGATGGGTCTTGCTATCTCTCACTCTCTAATTTGTGGCCCCTCATTCTCTCTGGGGTGTTGGGATGTAAAGAGAAGCCTAAGGGGTCCACACAGTTTCCTTCCTTTCCTTTTTGTTCATTCTGAAATGTCTCTCCTAGAACTACTCTTTTGTTTTACACAAAGCAAAAACAGAAGCAGTGGCAATACACAAAAATCTCGACCCTTTACCCCTCACAAAAACAAACAAACAAGATAAAACGATAACAACGACAACAACAAACCAAGTAAATTCTGATGCCAGCTGGTCTTGGATGAAGATTCAACAGTTAAATAAACAAAGCACTTGCTCTGGAATGATGCATGATATTTGCTGAGGTTCCTTTTGGAAGCTGAGATAATCACTGCATCACTACTGCACCATTGTCTTGGCAAAGAAGACCATCTTATTCTGAGTACGCTTTAGGAGTGGCTCTCTCTCTCTCTCCCTCTCTTTCCTTTTGTCCTTAACATCATCTCACATCCTGGGCCTATTTTTCCTGAACGAAAACTTTTCCTTTACATAGTTCCTGCCATAGGCAAGAAAAACAATCCTTCTATTCCATTTTTGTTGTTCAAACCCAAAACTGAGACCCAAGTTTAAGGCTGTGTTCTTGTCCGGGCAGTTTCATATGCCATCCATTTTCTCTCTCTCCCTCAAGCATCTTTCCTATCTTCCTTCCTCCTCTTCCCTCTCATGGATAATCCATATAGTTATAAAAAGCCCAGATTCTCTGAGAAACAAGACAGTTGTCCCTCAACCAATCTTTTAGACTACCTCACTAATGAGCTTGCTAACTCCCAGTTCAGTGCCATACTTTGGAGAGTTGCTCTTTTTTCCTTAGCATAGGTCATCAAAACTGGGAAGTCTCATTTCCCTGCGGTCTGCACTGCACTTCCCAGGGAAGGTATAAGGTCTCA